AATTCGTTTTGATCGCGTTCGCCACGAGCTGCAATATCTTCGGCCGATGGGCTCTCTGGAAGAGGAATCTTTCTCAAGTCCCCCTGCATATATGCAGCTTCCACCTTTCGATCTGGGTCTAGCAGTGCAGCAATATTGAAGTCAAGGAGGAATTCGGTCTTGGAGTGTGGTATGAGAGAACTGGCAGACGACTTAACTTTGAGGAGTGATGCCATCTCTCGTTGGTTCGTAGCGCTCAGCTTGCACTTGAGCGCGTCTTCGACGACGTTTGAGGTACTAATCTTATCAGCGTGCGCTTCGTGAAGCGCTTTGAACCACTTGAGCGCCCTAGATAGAGAAGCGCGTGCCAGCCTGACGTCTGAGACTAGCACCTCAGCAGATACTGCCAAGCTTTCAGCCTCACGCAGAAGAATACGCGAGAGGCCTAGATTCAATCCAACAGCGTCCGGGCGAAAGCCGGCACCATCCAACCGGCTGTAGGCGACAAGCTCCCCTGCATAGTAACATAGAAGTCGAGCAGCACGAAGCAGCTCGTCGTTCAAACCATGCTCAGTGTGAATTGCCGATGCGTGCACGAGCTTGTGAGTTCGGCTCAAGCTTGGTTCTGCCATATTGTCATCGAGAAACTGTGCTGTTGCTGAATTAATTACACCATGCATTACCTGGGATATAGAACCTTTGAAATTGTCGGATCAAGTGTCGCTGAATTTCACAAGTGCAAGGAGTTCTGCTCGCAGTTCAGGTGACGATCCTTCATGGGTGTGCCAGTCCTGCAAGATGCTATCATAAAGCGCCAACTTCCTGTCCAATGGTCCAATCGCTTCGCCCCACGCCTTGTGGGCTGCATTTTGAATCTCAGTCGCCTTCTCGATCAGCAAAGCCATGCTCAAAAATACTCGCATTGTTGCGGCGACCTAAGCTTATTACAGCATAGAGGGGAAACACTTCAGAATTTAGACTCAAACCTCACCTCATCCTGGTTCACTGAAAGGAACTTCACATCAAAAACTTCCAGCTTTGGTCCATTGGCCGTTTGGGCCCAGACGAATAAGGTTTGAAGATCTCCGGAGGCACAACAAGCGACGGCGGAGGGTGCTGGGCCGTCAAGTAGTAGACGAGCAACCGGGAAGAGTCCATTCAGCGACAAAATGAGCGCGCCATCTTCATCCCCTGTAACGAGGACAGAGAGAATTTTTGAAGCTTTAAGCGCAGCACTATCAGAGAGTTCAGAATTGTAATCACCCGGAGCCGCTGACGCCGCATGCATTGGCAGGAAACGATTCCCCTGGAAGTAGCCAGCCTGTGTTCATTGAATGTATTTCTTGGAGGCGGTTCACTCGACGCTGATATCGGCAGATATCTCTGCACCGTCGGAGTCTGTAATGTCGCGATTCGAGGACCGTGACCCTGTACAGATTTGTTGTGCCCACCACACGAGAGTAATTTTATGGCAGTGCATGATTTCCTCGCACCAACATGCGCCGCCGTGTTGTAACAACCCCTCCGCCTCGACGTCGAACATAGACAAATCCCCCTGACAATGACCCACTGCCAGCAGGCGTCCGTCTGGCGACCAGCATAGCGCGCTAATCGCCCCCGCTTTGAGGATCTCCGCAGGAGTCGTCAGCCGTTGAAAAGAAGTTGTCCGGTTTACCAGGAGGGCCCCATCCCTGGTAACCAACGCTACGATATCCATCTGTGGACACAAACACACCATCTCCACGTTCATAATTCGGTCGATGACTGATGCCATATTATCAGTCACTTAAGTCTTGCTAGTCATGGGGCCTTTAAAATTTTTAGTTTTGCTAGTCATGGGACCTTTAAAAATTTTAATTATCTTGAATCGAGAACCAAGCCCACGTTTACCAGTGTGCAAAACAACCACAGTGCTAGCAGTGTGGCAGACAACGTACGCCTGGGCCGGCCCACTCGAAATAAGTAAGTAAGTATTCATCAGGGCGGGACGTGTGCTGCACAATACAATCATTATGATACTTATGGCCACGCCGAAGATAACGCCAAGGTAGCGCTAGTCCTATTAATTGAGGCAACTTGAGAGTTAGAGAGCGTGGGGTCGCTGGTTCGGGCCGGCAAGGCGTACCCCCTCGCAGAGGCAGCTGTGGGAGTTACGTGGATTGACCTACTGGCGTGAACTACAGAAGATTTGCCGTGAGGAAGCTGTGGGAGTTACGTGGATTGACCTACTGGCGTGAACTACAGAAGTTTTATATATCTAAGTTTTATATATCTAAGAAAGAAACTGTGCAACGCCATGCAAATTAGCCGTCCTATGGCTCGAGCTGCTTTGCAAGGCCATGAGCTCATGCCTAGGACCAGAGGCGGTGGCGTAGCCGGTATTGATTATGAAGATGAGCACGAGGCGTTTGCAGCCAGCCGCAGCTCAGATTACATTTATGAATCTGGTAACGAAGCTGCCTTTGATGCGCTTGATAGCCACGCTGAAACCATCGAAGGCGATGCCAAGTTGCCGCTCGTAATCACTGGATCGACTGGATGTGGAAAGAGTGCTCTCCTCGCGAACTGGGTCAATCGCCGCAGAAAAATGAAGCATCGTGATGAATTTCTTTTCCAACATTTTGTGGGTTGCTCGCCGCGCTCCAAGCAGCTGGCACACTTGCTCTATCGTCTTGAGTCGGCCCTCAAAGAGCATTTCCAGCTGAGAGAAATGGAAGTACCTACTTCTGAAGAACGCCTTAGATGGTCGTTGAACAGATTCCTAGCAGCGGCTGCAAAGAAGCAATTCCCTGCTCGTATTGTCATTGTCATGGACGCTGTAAATCGGCTTCGAGGCGAGTCGAGTGCCGCTGACACTCTCCATTGGCTCCCAACCGAATTACCACAAGGGGTTAGAATTATCGTGTCTACTGTTGAGCTCGAACAAAACGGATCATTACCAGATGATTTTTATGATGAAGGATCCCGTGTTCACCGAACATACACTGAATTGCGTCGGCGAAAGTGCCCTACTATCCGCTTACAGCCGTTGTCAGTAGAGGTTCGTCACCTCATCATTGGGAGCTTCCTCAAGGTGAACCAACAAGCACTACAATCACTAGAACAAGCTCAACAATTTCGGCTTGTGACTGCCAAAGCATCATCACAACCTTTGTTTTTACGCACGATACTCTACGCTCTTCGACTAGGCTTCGAAATGTCCGAGGTGCCTGTAGACCAGCAGATTGACGTTTGTCTCGCCGCTGAGACTTCTTCACAGCTGATTGCTCGCGTCCTTGAACTCTGCAGTGATTATGTGGATTTGACTCTGGTGTCGACAGAAACAGAGCCCCCCTCAGCAGCTCTACAGAGGGTCGCCGGGACAACTAATCAGCCTACTAGGGATGAGAGCGATGCCGCTAACATATTCGCTCGCGTTTTGACAGCCTTGTTTGCTTCACGACATGGGCTAAGTGATGCAGAAATGTGGGGGATTGTTGAGCTTGCCACCAGCGATCCTTTGCCCCTTGAACAACGTGAATGTATTCGCCGAGTTCTCAGAGACTACACATTCTCCGTTAATGGATTGCGGAATTTCTCTCACGAGGATTACGCAGTCGTAGTCTACAATGAGTACATCCGCTCTCCGGAAGTCCACGTTCGCGCTCATCAACTAATGGCGAGATATTTTGGTAAGCTGCCCCCGTGCGATCGGAAGCTCGATGCGCTCCCATATCACCTTGAGGTGAGCGGAAGCTGGTCAAGGCTCCGAGCTGCCCTCGTTGACGTACAAATGTTCCGTTTGTGGTGGACAGCGGCACACAAGACGGAGTTTTTGAACTTATGGGCAAGCTTGACCGCATGTTCAAATACAGGAGCTCCAATCCGCAAATTGGTGACCGGGGAGTTTGATGACACTATGCGATGCGCCCAGCCACCTCGCCCGTGCTTGGATGTCGTGGACGAGTACGTACGGTCAGTGGATGACTACAAGTTTGTTCATTCTCCTTCGGACGATGAACTGGCTAGTGTTATCCTTCACATAGCTGACTTCATGCTCGAGTTCGCAACCCTGTCGTTGGAAGAGGCGGCAGATGTACCTCAGTTTGTCCATCCAACAATCCCCAATGAAGATCTCGCGAGTCTTGGCGTTCCTTTTCTCTCCCGAGATAAAGACGGGAATTCGGTTCTGAACACCCCGCATGTAGAAGCCTCCACTGACAAAGGTTCACTGGGTGCCAAGCCCACTGCAATGGACACCCCGATGAAAGTAAATGAAGAAATCCCATTATGTTCCACATATTTCTATCACAGATGGATGTGGATCCAGTTTCCATGGGTATCACTGGCTAACTGTGGTGAAAGGTTTCTCCAGGGAGTTGCTCACCAAACTCGCCAAGAGCAGAATGGAGCTGCGCCTGGGAAGAGTATTGAGGGTCGGCTATCTGTTGTTGATAGCAAGGTGAAACCCGCCGAAAGTCAGCTGATGGCGTCATGTAGTCGGAATCTCTCTTCTGCTCAGATGGCGGCGGCGGCTGCCGCCGCGATTGTCGGCGCCAGGCTCCCTGAAATTCGTACTTTTTCGCCTGGAAAGGAGCCAGGAAATCTACACATCGTTCCTGGACCGATTGCGGCCGCGGCTATCAATAGATCAGCACAAAAGTGCAAGGTGTCGTCCAAGCAATCAACGAATCAAGACAGATTGACTGGGAAAGAGTCTTTGGAATCTAAGACAGGCTACATTGACCACTTTGCTGTCAGGGTCGAGCAACTCAGAACAAATATTGGGTCGTATCGCTCTGAGTTGGACCAGCTAAGGCAAGAAAGAGTTAATCTTGGCCGCGTGTTTAACCGCACACACGACGAGATGCTCGAGCTGAGCAAGATGCACCTGTCCACCAGTGATCTTGAGGCTAAGCTGAATAGGCTGGTTAGGCGACTGGAACAGACTATTCGCGGGCACAAAATGGCCAAGCTACTATATAAGAATTATGAATGCGTAAAGCTCATGTGCGAGCGTCATCCGGCACATAGCCAGGCACTCATCGGCGAACTTGAGGCTAAGCTTACCCAAGACACCCTGTTCATACGAGAGGTGCGGCAGCGGCTTCGAGAAACAACATTCGAATCCCACGACTTTGCCGCTAATAACAAAGTCCTCCAGCATGCGGCACAAGAGATGACAGTGCTTCAGAACGACATGCTCGTGCAACGCATTCGCCAACGTGAACATTTGCAGTCAATGTCAGTCAAAGAGGCGGAACTGAACCAACAGCGAGAGAAGGAAATCTCACCCAAGCTTACAGATAGTCTGGTCAACGATGGTAGTACTAAAAGGGATGTGAGAATAAGTGGCTCTGAAAACGGCATCCAGGGGCGCCCGCCCAAGCGGATTGTCGGACGAAATCAAAATGCATACCTGCGACGTGAAGTTCTAGATCAAGGGTCGTGCCTCTCTGCCACTGAAGATGCTTCGGACGGTATCCTACTGGACCTCGCAAGTTGCTGGGAAGAGTACGCTGATCTCATTCGCAAGCGTACGTTTATCACGGATATCAAGGAATTTTTTGGTAAATTCTATAACGCGCAGACCTTACAGACACAAATGCGATCCCTACACAATGCCGCAGAACTGCGCCAGCGAGAACTCAAAAGGACACTGAACATTGTCGAAGCTGAGCTGGAACAAGTGCGATATGACTCACAGTCAATTGTGGGTTCGAATTCACGCGAGGCAAGAGAGCTTCAAATTCGGCTCTCTGTGCAATTAGGTCACCACAAGCACGCCCGTGAAACTGCGCTCGCCGCCGAGCGTCTACGCCAAGCTGCCTTCGGCGGCATTAAACATGTTTGCACTACTCTTGGTATTCCACCACCGGACCAGGACACTCCCGTCAATGAGATAATTCATCAGGTTGAAAGTGTCTTGGAGGCGCTCATGGAGGAGAAGGATAAGACTGCTCAGAAAATCGGTGACCCGCACCAGTCCAACTTTCGGGAGACATCGTCTGGATACGAAAAATTGATGCGCGCTCCTGAACTGGATGCAGCCCTGGAACAGTTTGAAACTCCCAAGGCACTCATCGCACATCGGCTTCCGGCCAAGGCTCCCGATGAGACACGAATGCTGCACGAAGACCCAGATTCTAACCCAGTCGTTGATGATGGTGAGTTTTCCAAAGATTATGTCCAGGCTGTGAGAATTTGTGACCTCACAGGTGACATCGCAACACGAAGTGACGTGAAACGCGAAGCTCACAAAAATGTGCGTGCGGTCCAACGGAGGCTTGCTCGTTTAAGTCCCCAGTAGTCGCACCACGCCGCATTATTACCATCGTGCTAGTGAGGCAAACCTACCACATTTTGGTCCCAAGGCGTTTCCACAAAAGTCAGGTAAAGTACGAGCTGTAGCAGGCTAGAATATCTGGCTAGCGGGGCGTGTTTGAAAGCAGCAGGACGGGCCTGCGTTGTAGATGGTCCTTGGCTAGCATCGAACTGGCATCGTGGAGTTGGCTTTTACTGCAGCTGTCTGTGTTCCAGCTGTCTGTGTTCCGGGACAGCACCACCCTACCTAGGGTGCTTGCGACCAACAATGCCGAGAACATTCATGGGGCAAGAGCATGCAATGGGTATGTCCAAGACGATCCTGTGTCTCGTTCTTCGTCCCCGATGCCGCTGACGCCGGGGAGCTTCCCATCGGCTCCTGGCCGGCTCCGGTGGCGCTGCCTTCCTTCCACACTAGACAAGGCAGCCCATCTTACCACAAGCCTAGAACCCGCCAGCCTCGTACGGGAGCACAGGCGCGCCCCGACCTAGGCTGCGGCCTTCTGCTGCCGAAGGTGGTACGTCTGCGTCGGATTCCGGCCACAGCGCTCCGTTCGTTGATTGGTAAGCGCCCCGCTACCATAGTGGCTATCTGCGGGCATCACCATTCACCGCAGTTCTCCATTGATCACAGGCCCCGAAACTTCGGCCCACTTGGTGATTAAGGCTATGTGAATTGGGTAATGCATTGGTTGTCATGCTCTAGTTGGGTATGGTGATGCCGGAGGTTTTGCAACTACGGGTTGCGCCGGACGGTATGAATCAAGTTTGGGGGCCATTGTGGCGGGCTTTCCGCCGTCAATATCTACCTTTAGCTTAGCTTGAAGCTCAAATTGCAGTGCACATATCCGCCCTGTTTATCTCACTGTATCTTTGGTTGGTAGATACGCGTCGCCGTATCTTCCGTTTTATCTTATCTCACATCATGATCTAGCGAAGGCCGCCCTGGTGTTAACCAGGCTGAGTGCCCGCGCTAGTGACCCTAGGCTACTAGGCGGGAGCGGACTGTAACATCTACCTAGTATTTAGTAGGTGAAGGGCCTTACAGTCCTTTGTTGGCAATGTATAGCGTCCTGTCCAGTGTGAAAAACAAATATTCTAAACGAATTTTCCCACGTCCGTTGGACGTCCGTTGCCAGTGGGCGTCCGTTGTGACCCCCGCGCGCGGCGGACGGAGGACCTCTATGAGGACCTCCCGCCGGGCGACCGCAGATTAATGATTAATAATTCCTATGGCGCGCGCCAGCCATATGGTCGTTTTTTACACTGGCCCTGTCTAATATGCTTCCAATCCGAGTCTAGGTCTCTAGAAGTCTACACAGCGGGCGTTAAAATTCTCATGCGACAGTCTATTGAGGAGCGCCAGCTCTCTATCCAGGTGATTCTCGAGGTAGAGGCTGATATTTCGCAACGCTTCAATGATAACCGTGCATTCAAAGACCAGTTGGCGAAATTGATCAGAGGACTTGCACGGTGCCAACCGCCCTTGACCACTGACATGCTATTGCGCTATGTCCCCTCGATTCCTCAACAACCCAGCTCATCGTCACGCAACGAAGCAGGGTTGCGAGCAGGAGGATTTGAGGTACTTCATCATAGCTTGTCAACTCAGCACCTGAGCATTATTTGGTGTAGTTGTATGTAATACTGGAGGTGCGCGATCACCTGGGAAGTGTGTGTGCGTCATCTCACCGAGTTTTGCTGCACTCACGGCTCGTGTCACGAAAGATGCCAAATCAAAAACGCGTTGCGAAACGTCTGCGGGTGGCCCTAGGCTCCGTGCAAGATGATCCAAACATTTCACCGAAAGCTCCCCTTACCTGGAGGCAGTGCATACGCTGCGGGTGGCCAATATCTTCACCTTCAGCTTGTTCAGGTCGCCCTGGCCAACGCCACTACCTGGCGCTAGGTCACAACCTTGTCCTGGGCATGACTGGAAATAATGTACAGGCAGTTCTGACAGCTTCGGAGACAGATGGACAGCCAGTTGACATCAAGCCTCTCGCAGACAATTGCAAACAGTGTTGGGTAAACCATGGTGTAAGTTACACGCTTGAGGCTAAGCGAACGACGGGGGAAACCTTATCGAAAATGAGATTCGTGCCACAGTATGGTGGGCCACTTTTTATTTCTGTTGACTGTCATACCGGCCGTGACGCCGCATACCCCTTGGAACCCTCTTTTGGCATGGTGAAATATGGGGGTATCGCTGAAATTATTGAGCAGCATGTATCTCGTGTGCAACTCACTGGCTGTCGGATTCTCGACGAAAAACTCGTACCGGGAGGAACGAGACATGACGTCCTTGACCACCTCCAGAGAACCGCGACCCACCGCGCCATGGATCGTCTGTATCCGGCGCAAATTACGCACCCATCATGAAGAGCAGTGTGAGGCGAGCTTATGCGTGCACGTAGGGCTTGATCCACAACCACGGCCCTGTGTCATCTCGAAGACCTCAGATCATGTCCTCCAAAATACCCTAGGAGGCATCTCAAAGCCACGGAGCAAGTACGATATTACAAACCGCGTCCAACTCTGGATCCAGATTCAGATTCAAAAGTTTGGCACGCAGGTGGTCGGGGCAGGATGATATTATTCAGTTGAATTGTGCTTTGTCTGAACGCCTGGCGAATCAAGCACACGCGACTACTCTTCCAGATCTCGGCCTTGCTTCCGCGGTGTGTTCTGTGCCCGAATCCCTTCTGAAGCCGACAGTGGGCGGTATTTCGTTCCCACCAAGACCCAAGTCGGCCACAAACCGTCCCGCATCTGCCTTCAGATCGTGCTACTAGGCAAAAAACTATCGGCTGGGCGACTTGAACTCTGAGCCAGCGGCGCGCTTATTCCCGGCGTGGTCCTAGGTTTTCAATTCAAGAACTCATTGCGTAGGTGATCTGCCTTGGCTCTACTTTCGGCGAGGCTGATACTGATCCGCATCCCGCTTTTTGTGTCCGATAGCTACAAGATGTTTGCTGAACTTCAATAAACCCACGACTCCCACAAACCCGCCCCATTCGACTTTGGCATTGTCAATACATCAAAAGCACCAGAAACTTTGCTGGTACTGCAAGCATATATTGCCTAAGGGCACCGGAGATAAGGGCTGTTGTGGCTGAGTGGATACAAAATGGCACCTTGGCAGTCGAGAGCAAAATTGAGCTTGCAAATGGACGCCATTTGAAGTTTTGCCCATGCTAGCAGTCATTACCGACCCCCCCCCCGGCGCCCCCTGGTCATCCTGGACACGTGCGGGTCGGGGACGGTGCGCGGGCGCCCTGGGCGTCCTTTCGCGCGTCGCACGGCGAAGCAGTGGTGCCGGGGACGACCAGTTTCAGGGGCGGGGCCCAGCACGGTCGCTTGCAGGGTCCGTTCACGACCGAACCCCCTGAGTCCCTGAGATTAATTCCTAGATGGCCCTGGTGGGGGTGTATATATGTGCGTTCGGTTCCGCTGGGCTCAGCGGACGTCCTGGGGTCGCGTCCGCGCAAAGGGGGCCGGGTGACGCCGGAGTGCGCCCGTTTACGTGCCGATATCGGGCGTTCGGGGCTCGGGCCCGAAGGCGCGTTTCGGGCGCTTTCGGCGCTTCGGCTGCTCTTCCTGGCGGCTGGTTGTGCTCTCATGGGCCGTTCGGGGTCCGTGGGTACGCTACCGCTATCGTCAGCCCCGCGCACCAACCGCCCATTCGCTATCGAAACCTCCTGGAGACTATTAAGGAACACGGACAAATTCTCAGATATATGCCTTGTCTGGTCCCAAGAACTGAAGTCTGCCAGCCCGGGTTCTATGTACATATTGAATTTTGCTCTAACATCCAAGTCCAAGTCAGGACTATGCCACCATGGATAGGCGAGTCTGCCGGCTTGCCTTCCATCATAGCCAGGGCCATCCTACCCTGCTCCAGCTCCAAATGCCTCAGCAATTCATCACTCAACCCAAACCCTTGGATGCCAGTAGAAACCATATGACCCCAAAAATATAAGCCGCGCCACCCCGGGCCCCGGGGAAGCGGCGAGCTGGGAGAGGACCACCACAACCAGCAGTTTTATTTAGCTGGATGATGATAGGTGGTCTAAACTCACTAACTCGTTACCGGAAACATATTGTACTGTCGTCAATGCAACATATTGTACAAGGCCTTCGTCCGCATGAGGGTCGAATCTTTTGTCCGTGGCGCATCCGCTATCGCGGCTTCTACAGCTGTATGGCTTTCAACCAGTCGGTCGGGCCGCTGGTCTGCTGTGCGGTGAGCGCGGAGGTTGACCGTATCTGCCGGAAAAACGGAGGCCTGGGCTTTTGCGAGCTGCTGTCCGAGTTCGCATCCCTCTCGTCAGGAGGAGAGCCGTCAGCGCAGAGTCAACTGACGTTCCGAAGTGCGACCAAGCATTTTACGCTCTCTGGAGGGTTGCGTGTGCGATTCGTGGGTGCACGGTCGGCAAGGCTCATGCCTCTCGATCGTGCAGATGCATCGCTGAGATCTGCGGTTGCGCACCAACAAGGAGAGGCAGTAGACTTGAGCGCCTCATTTAGTGGTAAGTCCCAGACCGTCAGAGGGGATGTGGGTGGAAATCGTCCGCGCGGTGCCTGGTTTGCGCGTTGGCGTATGGCGCTGGAAGCATCGCTCCGCCACGGTGAGTACGACGGGTTCGATTGCCCTGCGGTGCTGGTGCTCGTGGCATCGTCATCTGAACCTGCTGGTGTCGCAGCAGCACTTGAGGAGCTTGGCTCCCCGCATCATCTCGCTTCAGGCCTGACCGATGGACACTTCGACGAGAGGGCAACACCGCGCCATGTCCTGGTTCTCCATGACGTGATCGAAGGATTGGGTGATGCGCGAGCCGCGCTGAGTGCAGCTCGCGCATCGCTCCCATCCATCGTCGGAGGCGCTCCGACCATCGCCCGACTTCTAAATATTAATTCCCTTGCACCGGGTGCGACACCGATTGACGTGCGCTACCCGCGCCGATCCGCGCGGGACCCTTCCCATTCGGTATCCGCGCTTTGCGGTCGATTTACGTCGTAGGTGCGATTTCCGTGTCTTGACGCAGCGGATATGGCAGAGCTGCGTCGCTTTACCTCTGAACTTGTGCATGGGGGCGTCGTACCTGCCATCGAGCGGCGTGTCGCCAGCCTGTTCGCCAACGTAAACTCTTCGCGAAAGGGTGTGCGCAACGTTTTAAAATCCTGGCTGCGGCGCCCTCGCGAAGCTGCGTCCGCTCTTTCTGGTGCGCCAGCACTGTCGTCAAGACGCACCTTCCTCGAAGCCAGATACTTGTGGCATAGGTTCTGGCACTACTGGCGCAGTTGAGACTGGCGACGGCATCGTCACCGGAGTCAGGTACCGCTTTGACACAGTTGAAGCCCAGATACGACTTCTCGCTGACACTACTTTCTCTATGCGCGACTATGAGACTGCTCTCTCCATGTACCGCCTGGCGCGTGACGATTTCAAGAGCGCGGTCACTGTGTCAGGCAGGCCTTTGACCGCAGTCGTATCCATGTTCAAATGTATCTCGTAGGTGACAGGGCTTTGCTGCATTTGGGTTGCGCTAACGAAATGATTGCTCGAACCTTGCTCTGTCTCGCTTCGCTCAAGCAGCATCGATCTCGAGGTCCAGCAGCCAATACACTCGTTGATGCAAGTACCGACGACGGTGCAGTTTCCTGCGCAGATCAATTTAGTGCGCCCTCAGTCGCTTGAGCTCTGGGCGTCGGTCCAGACTTCATGGTACGAATTTACTGCATGATACATCCCTAGGCGCGTCTGGTGATGCGAAGGTGCTTTGGCGGGATGCAATCAGCGCGATCGATGCAGCGACTGCAGCACTGGTAGCAGCTGCCGATGAGGCGCGCACTGCCGAGGCGCGGAGTGAAAGTGGGGATTATCGGGCTGCAGGACGGAGGGCAACAGTGGCTGCGCGTATGCTTACGCGTGCTGCACTTGTGGCTGCCGACTGTCGCAACGATGAGGGCGATGGTCTCGCACCACGTGCCAAGCGTCGTTCCAAGGGCGGTCGGTCATGCGCTGAAGCTGCAGCTGATGCGCTCGTTGGAGCAGCCCAATTCGAGACAAATCTGAACGCAGCTGTCCTTTACGAGCAAGCCGCCTGGCGCTATCAAAGCGGGGGCTTTCGACGCAAGTGCGCGCTACACCTGGTCATGGCAGGCCATCGCTATCGCGCATGCGGTGCCGAGGCGCACGCCTGAGCCATGTCATGTGGTGATTCGAAGAGCGCTAATGTGCTATTGCTCACATTGTGCACACTGATCGTAAATCCTAGGTTCACGCTGTTGAGTGCTATGTCGCAAGCAAAGAGGCATACGCGGCCAGCTATGATGCTTCAACCAGGCGTGATCAGTCCGAGAGTGTGACTACGACCGCGCGTGTTAGAGGCTGGGCACGCATCGATGAGCACGTGGAGCATGCGTTGGGCCGTCAGCTCGAGACCCTGGGCCACCACGCGCTTGCACTTCGGTGTACGTTGACACTGCTAGGTAGTGCGCGAGCCCCTGCAGAGCGCCATGCACAGCTCCTTTCAGGATTTATCGCGGCCTGCGTAGCACGCCCTGACGCCCTTAAGCACGCCGCTGCAGCGCTCCGACGCGACCTGCCAAAGATGGTCTTCTGTGGTGGTGGTGAGTCATCAGATCGGGTCAATGCAGCGATCGAAAGCTGGGACTGCGACCACGCTCGTAGTCCGGGAACACTCGAGAGCCTGATAGTTGTCGGACTTCCGCTTCCTGTCATTGTTCACGATGCAGTCATAGTCCGGACGACGGATGAGATTATTGAGGGCGTTGGTGAGGGCGGACGCGGGCTAGGAGTTGCATGGGCCCGGGACCTCCGAACTCGGTTGAATATTGAAAAACGCGCAGTGGATATGTTCGAGGCTCAAAGCCGCCAAAGTATGCAACCTGGAGCCCAGCTCCGGGCTAGATGCGTCGATGCTCAGCTCGCCGCTGAGGCAGCTGCAGAGCGACGGGGGATTTCCATCTTCGAACTGGCAGAGTCTGGCTCTAGTGACGCTGGCTTGAAGACCCGCCTTTGGGCTGAACACAGCCTAGATTCGCCTCACGATCCAGGTCACTTCGAAGCTCGACGCACGACTTGGCCTCGTTGGGTTGCACGTGGAGAGGTTATCGATGTAAACGTCCTTGTGCCCGGGTCTCTCATCGCGCGTGCACTTGAGAGTAATGCAATGCCTCAAGAGCGTTGTCGATAGGTGGTTTTTCGCAATGCGTTTGCAGTTCCTGTGGAGCTCTCTGATGTTCACCTTGTCTGCACACTGGAGCAAGGCATTGACTTTGCACGTAGATCTTCCTCGCTCACTCATAATTCAGACGCCGCGCAACGTTCATGGAGTTCATCACAGAGTCGAACTACTCAAACGCAACCACAACAAGACTGTGACCCATTCCTCGCCCAGCTCACAGCAGCTACGGACTCATACGATGCGGACCCATTTTCTAGCTCGCCTTACATCGTGGAACATGTCCATGTGACCTTACCGCCCGGGGGGGGGGGACTTGGAGGTGCACTCGTCCGCCTCCGGTGTGGTGTTTCGGCTCTTAATGGCACACTTCGCGTCGTGGGCGTCCGATGGAAGCTAGGTGGTAAGATTTGGGGTGCTGCGGCGTTCGTACGCCGGGGTCCACGCCTTCGGCGGACGCGCGAGGAACGTGCCTCCCGCATACGCGCCCCTGACGCATCGCTTGCAGTCCACGTCGTTGGTGATCTACCGCGCGTAGTTGCACGCATCCGTGGCCTCGGAGACAACAGTATTCCCCCCGCCTGGGATAATTCTAGTGCCCCTCCGAGGCCCTCAAGCTTCGCTGCACTTCATGGAGAGGTCAGACGAGGAATCCTGGAACTTGCTAACATCGGGCGCGCGCCTGCATCAGACATGCTTGTCCGTTGCAATCTCCCGTGGATAGCAGTCGGTGGAGAAATAGGCATCAATTCGCCCAAGGGCAATGTCTCTGTGACACACAGCGCCCTCGGCGCATCAGGTCTTTCCTGGCGTGCCATTGATGTGCGCGGTAATCCAATGGTCCTCGGGCGAGGCGAGTCTGCGTCACTCCCAGTTTTGTTTCGTGCACAGGGCGCTGGAGGCAAACACCAATTGCAATTTCTTGTGCAGTACGCTCCGTTGGGGCCGAAATTCGAGCCAGAGGTACCTCGTGGTTGGCCGCCCTTTCAAGATGGTGACTTAGAGGCTGGGGATGCTGCGAATAGGTCATCCATGTCACGTGACCCACACGCAATTGACCTGCCACCCTTGAGCCGACGCGTGACGCTCTGCATTGACATCACCGTTCTCCCATCTCTCACGTTAGAGACTCTCAAGGTCATCCCCAAGTTTAATCGCCCCAACGCACATCATTTATCGATGACGCTCGCCAACTACTACTGCGCAGATGGAGGCGTCTCCAGTGCTCTAGGACGGGCCCTTAAGGTGACCCACGTTCATGCCCTCGGTGATGGGACGTGGCAGCTCCACGATGCTCTCAGTCCCCATGGTCTGCTCGAGCCAGCTCACGACACTTCGCCGGAGAGATGCCCTTCCATGGACGGGCAGCCTACTCATACCCAGGTACCCGTCTCTTCGGCACCTCTCGATATTCGAGTGGACTGGCAGGAACAGCTTGCGCTCCATTACACTCTGCTAGCTCGTCGCACGACGTGCACGGCCTGGTCTGCTGGCTCTGATATCAACGTAGACCTCTTCAAGGTCGAACATGCTGCATCGCGATTCGAGGATGACCTTTTGTGCGTCTCACTGCGCCACCATCGACCGAGACATAAGATACGCACCGAGCACAAGAGCTTGTTCATGTAGGCGCGCTCGTGATGCACAGCTGATTGATAATGCACGCGCGACTCCGAGAACAATTCAAGCAATCAGGAGGGAGGCGCGCTCAAAGGACATCGATACGGGGCCAACGAGGACCCGAGAGGGCGATGCTGCCGCGAAAGCAAAGGGAGGTGCTTCACGTTTGGCATGCGCCGCTCTAGAGGCTGCATTACCTCGGAGTGCCATAGCGCTTGTTGTTGCGTGGGCTTCAAGTGATGAAAATAGCAGCGAGTGCCACGCACCCCCCCAGGTCTGCGGCCAGCACCATGTCCTCAGTGTTCCGATTGGTGAAACGTTGGCGTCGCGAGTCAAGGAGGTACCTGGGTGCACCTGGCCCTGCTGTCCCATATCCCTCGCGCTCGATTTCACCGTCGTCCATATTGAGGACATTGGCAATGGCCGTGCAACTGTGTCCGTCACTGCCATTGTCGCTAATACACTCATGCTTGACGGAACTGGCACAGACCTAGCTGTCGAGGTCTCCTGCATAGACGACGTAATGGGCGACGTCTACTGGTGCGGTCAGACGAAGAGTCGCTTTCCAAAGCTTACGGTTGGTGCAAGTCCTCGTGTCATTCTACTTGAGGCATCTATTGCCCGCGCCGGTGTCTTCGACCTAGGTGCACTCCTTGCTATCAAGGCTGTAATGTTGCCGGTTGATCCCAGCTCGACATCGGATGGCACACGAATCCCGCCGAAGATCTGCGATGCCCTGTCTGGAGGACTTACTTTCATCTTCAAGAATCAGTTCCTCCTGACTGTCGAAGACTCTTCTTCGCGATACTTCCCCGTTGGATGTAGCCTTCGAGCAGCACCACCAAGATGTAGGGGGGGGACAGGGACACATCTCGTACCACAGCCCCACATTTGCGACTAGAAGCTGTCCTGTAGAACAAGACGACGCAGGGAACACCACACAGCCCACTTGGGGCTTCAACGCCAGGCGTGAAATACGCCTTTATCACGCCATGAAAAGGGCGGACGCGGGGCGATTTCAAGCACATAGTATTGGCCTCGCCGCACCCCCTGGGCTCCCCCAAGAGCGCCCCGTGCGCGCTCCCCGTGCGGGGCACGTGCGGGGAGCCTGCCACTATCCTAGCGCGCCGGCGTGTGCCAGAAATAGCAGCTCTCGGTTGTTGTCAGGGTGGAAATCGAGCGAGAAGTAGCCGGGTAGTGGCCGGTAACTCCCCTTGGTTGTTCTGGGTTTGATTCTGGCATTCTCGCCGCTGGATGTGCGCCAGTTGCGTTTACCGTAGCGGCCTTGGTGCATTTCGGTGGCGCTCAGGCGCTTTTGGTCGTATTTTAGCGACTTTTGGTTCAACTTGAAGTTTTGTGGTACTTGGGTCCCGACTAACCTACTGTGCGCTTCGTAATACGGATCAACAAAATTCGATTAGTGGATCACAAAACGCGTGCAAATCCGTTGGAATAAAGCTCCCGCATGCACTTCTGATCTACTCCAACAATCCTAGAGCAAAGAAGTGACTGAAACGCGCGCTGCCCGATCCCATGTTGAAGTACAAGTTGAACATACAGCCATGTTGAAGTTATTTGTGGCCCGGCGCCAGAAGCCGCCACAAGGTCTAAGGCAGATTTTAACGCTCGGCCGGTAACTTTTCAGCTTGATTTCCACCCTGGTTGTTGTGTTCTTGAGTGCGGGGGGGGCTCGGGGGCCGTGCACGCAAGCCAGCTGCTGGAAGCGGCTGTTGGAAGTGTGTGCCGGCACACCGGAATGTGCCGGCACAAGCCGGCACAAGCCGGATTCGACTGTGCCGGCACACCCCGGGCAGCCCGTCCCTGTGCCGGCGCGGCTACCGGCACAGCGGGCTCGTTTGTTTTTCACCCTGAGCGTGGCGTACTTGTCGTGCTTCGCCACCGCGGGTCCCTCCGCGTCACGGTGGCCCTTATGTCTTTTCTCTGTATCCTAAATATCCTACGCTGATATATCCTGCGGCTATCATCGCCCTATTAACGCCCAACCTGCCATCCATGGACACGCAAATGCTCGAAGGCTCTTCTAGTCTATCGTGTTATGAGTCACTCAACGAGGAGCTGCTTCCGCAACTTCCGGGTTATCGCTGCAATCGGCACTCTGCGGGAAATCGAAACCAGACGATCAAATACATAAACCGTCACATGTTTCTCACAGCCGCGAAGAATGTGGAGCCCTACGATCAGTGAGATTCACCCAGGTCTAGCTTATGTAGTCATTGGTGTGTAGGCATGACCTAGTGCTGTCAAACTCGGCCACTTCGTTGACCCTTCGGAGTGTGAAGTCTCATCAGCCATCGATGGGCAGCAACACAACAGGTACCGTGACTCCTGCGAATCGGTTCAGACTCCATCGGTAGGCATCGAAGCGCCATTGAAGAGATCTAATAAGGTGCTATGCTTCTACGCATACTTCATGGAGGCAGTCCATGACTCATACTTGGAAAACTTTCGAGTTCGGCGATGCGAAATTTATTATTATCTGGAAGATGACTCCATGCAGATCGTTGAGCCCAAACAAGAAAATTCGGGTGTACCGCAAGGGAATTTCATGAAGCGACATCGCGTCCCAAAGTCGGAGGACGATTACTTCACAATTCAAGATATTGAAGTTGGCTGCTCCATCGAGCTGTCTGTATTTGAATCATCAAGGCTAAGTTATTTTGGGGATAGACAATGCACGTAGGTACGGGAGAATATTTCATGTCAACGGTTGCAATGAATCAACCAGGAATTTCCTGCGTAACATGAAGGGCGCAGAACCAAACGCAAATAGCCTTCCTCCTGTCGACCGCTATGAAACAGAAAGGTGAATTCAGCCCCCCCCCCCCCCCCCGCCCCCCCGCCCCGCCCCCCCCGAGGTCTCTTGAATGTGGTATCCAACACTATCAATCCATTCATTTCGTTTTAAAACGCAGGCGCGATCTTATGTCTCGGGAAACTGGCAAAGACCCAACTGTCTCACACAATATTCAAAAAAATCCGATGAAAGTACTTTTTAAGCGTGGCTAATAGGCAGGGTGTTTTGTTTGCAGAGAGCCCCCCGCCTTGCTCATTTTACTGAAAAGGGCCTTTTCGCAGGTGTTCGCTGAGGCAGCATTAGGCAACACGGTTGACAACTCTGGCCGCCATGGGTTTCTCAAATACGGGACTTCTGTGCTGCGATTTTATTGTTACTGGGACGATTCGAGTTCGCTTTATGGAGATGTTCTGATGTTTAAAGTGCACTATTTCTTATATGACAATACAATTGAAATTCTTACCGTATGTCACCAGGGGTCTTTCGTGTAAACATGATGCAAGGGCATTACATTGCCTTAGGTACACTCTCCGAATTCAGGCCGTGATAGTTATCCGCTGTTGCTAAAACGAGCAAAACTTCCGAAGTCAACGGGTGGCTTTTATCACTGGACTGATTTGAAAATTGGATGTACTATAAATGCATATTCAAGATTGATCAAAATGATTGATGCAGATCGTGCTACTCGTGAGTTCTATTTGAAAGAAGGCATTGATCTAGGCTCGCGCCTTGCCCCTCCCGTCGAGGATCATCCCGTGGCTCTCGAACGCATGCCCCCCCCTTATTCTGGATTTGGAAGTGAAGAAGATTCTTTGACCTCATGCGCCGGGTCGTTGGTCCAGAAGGCGCCGGCAAAGCATCGCGGTGAAGAGGGTGTCCTTCGCTATCAAGTGAGTATTCCGAGGAATATCAAAGTACTTATATGCATACATTCATAGGCTGCATTCGCAAACCCAAAACCTGAGGACAGGGGGCGTTTGTTTGTACTTGTATACTACTCGACCGAGTTTGCACTTATGATTCGTGAACCGCCTCGGCGCAATTCTGGCGTCGTCGGGGGTAATTTCCTCGCTAAGATGAAACTGAAGCACCCAGATGGGAAGCTTGTTACAGCAGCTGACATTGTAATTGGCGCCACTCTGACTCTCGCATCTCACACTTTCGTAATTCTCGATGCAGATGAAGCCACACTTAAATACATGGAACACAGACCAATCCAATTTCCACATTCTAACCCCCAGGCAGTGACGCAGCTCTACACACGCCTCGCAAATGTTGCATGGTCTGATGAGGACACCCGGCGTGCTGCACTAGATGTGGCCTCCCATGGATGTGGTGCTCTGGATTTTAATGCATTTGAAAAGCTGCTCACGGCTCTTGGCAGCAGTACTATCACAATCGCAGATGTGCCTCCAAAACAAGCGATGATTACAATGTGGCGACATTATGCAACAGACGGCCAAATTAAATTGATCGATTTACCATTTTGAGAGAGGCGTTTTCCTCAGGCACCAGGCTATTCCAGTGTTCTAGCAAAAGCGGAGCCCCCCGCGCCGCCGCCTCCCTCGGAATTGCCAGCCGCAGCGCAGCGCAGTCAGATCAAAGCCCCAAGTGTGCATCGCCCAAACAACCACACACTCTCACAATCATCACATCCACACCACACTACACTGCACTCACATTGCACTGCACTCACATTGCACCTGCGGGGCCTATAGGACCGCGCCAGTCAGGGTACTTGGGCACATTGTGCCGCGTAACTCGCCTTGCCGAACGGCTCGTAAGTTAGGGGCCCCACCCCCGGACCCGCGCGTCCGGGCGTTCTGGGCGGCGTCCCGGCGGCGTCCCGGCGGCGTCCCAGTGGCGTTCTGGCGGCGTCCCCGGCGTTCTGGCGGCGTCCTGGGCGTCCTTTGGCGTCCTTTGGCGTCCTTCGGCGTCCTGGGCGTTCTGGCGGCGTCCCAGCGCGTTCCGGGGCGTCCCGGCGACGTCCTAGTTACGTTCTAGCGGCGTCCCGGCGGCGTTCCGGCGGCGTTCCGGCTGGCGTCCTCGGCGTCCCGGCCGTTCTCAGGTCGCGCGGGTCCGGTGGGGCCCCTTAAGTTTGAAGGGGCACTACCATTTCCCCTCAAGACGGCTGCGTAAAACCTCCCTATCTTTCTAATAAAAATCATAAAAAAACTTATATCATGGTAAAACCATGCCAGGGCCGAACTTAAATTAAATTAATACATTCAATCATAAGTTCTCCTTCACTTACCAATCGACGGACCAAGTTGCAGTGAAATGTATCGCTCGGCTGAAACGTCGTCTTTTGCTCGAGACGATGTGGTTGGCCGGCGGCGCGGGGCTGCGTCCGGGGTCTGGGGCGCCCGAAGGTACTACTCCCTCGCGGCTGCCGGCCGGAATCGGGGCGACGAGAGCGGGGTTCGCTTGGAGTAGTACCTTCGAGCACCCAGAACCTCGCCGCGGGGACCGCCTCGCGCGCGCGGGGAGCGAGGGGAAAATGATCTCAGCTTCTGCATGTTCCCGAGACGAGCGGGCTGAAGTTTTGGGATGCCCGACCCCGAGTTGCCGCTGCGAAGTGTGCTCAGTTTCTCTCCCCCTGGCCTGGAACATGCCAAACCCAGCATCAGAGATCGTGCGACCATCATCGACGACGTCCAACCACTTTTCGAAAGTAAACTTCTAGGTTCAATAAGTTAATGTTGCGTTCCGGCCGACGATTGGTAAGTGTCCTTCCTGGCTACTCGAAGATTAAATCGCATTTCCGTCTAATCCCCGTACTATTGTAATATCATAATATGAGGCCGAAAGTTTCGATAGATGAAGTATTTGATCACTTTCAGCAACTTGATGTTGACGCGTCCGGCAAGGTGGGAAAGAACGTTGTGGATGGATTCTCATGGAAATAAATAGGTTAGTAAACGCGAGCTGGAACGATTCTTAGCTGGTGATGATCTACAGCACACATTTATAGTAGTCTTCGAGACTGCAGACATTGGAATATCTTGGGAAGATGGTACGGACATGCGGGTAACCAACCGGGGGTGCGGTAATGTTATGTACTTGAGGAATTTCTATAGGTAGTGATTTCTGCCATTGAGCCTGGATCGCCTGCGTCTGATAATGCGGACGTTGTCATTGGGCTTGCCCTGGAATCGGTAAATGGAGCAGTGCTTCCCGAGGGTGGGGCATACACATTAAAAAAAGCATGGCGTGCGCTACTCATGGAGCCGAAAATCCTGCTTGAGTTCGTAATCGGCATCAACAAATGAATTTAGCTGTCAGTCACGTGACGATGAGATTCTAGGTTCTACGAGCCGTTTATCATCGTCCATGATTTTGCGCATACGTTAGACATAGAAATCGATACTTCACGCAGAAGACATGCTAAGAAGACAATTACGTCCAACCCCAGCTCGCCAGCGCTTCTACGAACGCCCATGGTTCATCTTTGGGCCAAGATCGATGCGCTGTTCACCTCTGATGAGAACGCACCAAAGCTCACGAACACTAAACAGCAGCTCCTTCTGACTGTATTGTCTAGGGCATGTAACGTGCTCCTTAGTCATCTCACTTGCACACAACCCCAGGTCAGAATAAAAAATAGGGCATATGCATTCCTTTCTGATGTCATAGAGGCGCTTGACGAAGCGTTATTTGTCTTGGCGCCGCAGCACTTCAAGTTTGGAGTTTGTGTGTTCGCAGATACGATATCCGGCAAGATCCAGTGCTCATTCAATCGCACTTGAATTTTGCTATCGTCCTAGGTGTATTGACTATACAGAGTGACCGGTCACCCTTCAGACTCCTCACGAGAGATGGTCCTACGCATCTAGTCCGCGTCAATGCGTAAAAGTTCCGAAATCCGCAAAGTTCTTGATTCTGCAGTTACAACACGTCGCTACATCGACATCTTGGCTTTGAGAACGAGCCGAATCCTCTCCACACGTATTCGGTAAGCACTCAGGCGAGACATTTTCAGGAGTCACTAGCCAATTCTGTCGACACAGGCGCATGTCCACGCGGCGCTCCAACTGGGCTTCACTAGTACCATCACAGCCTCAGTCTTGACTAATAAATCCTGAGGAAACGATTGTGAAAATATACAGGCAGTGAACAAGTACGAGTATTCACATCAGAGCTGCTGTTAGAGTATGATCAAAATAGCAACTCGCGAAGCCTCGTGTCAACACAATCTTGAAATGCCCAAATGCTGAGGTGACTTTAGGTGGCTTGAGTTCGATGAATTCAGGAAACTATACGTCACGCATCTTTTAGGAGAGGAAGCGATAGATGCTCTGCGTAATCGTGTTAAAGTCCGATTCCGAAGTGATGAGGAATTGAAGTCGCTTGCAGAAGAGCGTGCAATGTTGCAGCGGCGAGCCAAGTTAAAGCTCGAGCTTGAAGCTCGGCGCGAAGTGAATCGTACCATCAAGCAAAAACAGAAAGATCGCATGTCCACTATGTATTATCGCGACTGTGATGGAAATTTGCGTCGTGGAAAACTCAGTGCTCTCACAAGGACAAATACTTCCGCAGCGAATACTGCAAACGTGAAGTATTCTACTGGGCCAGCAAAACAGAACCCCAGAGGTACAGCAGAAATGCGTCGAATTCGACGGAGGTTGGCTCGCGAAAAACTGATTCACAAGCGGCGGTCAGATCAAGATGCAAGGCATAAAGCACAAGCCGAAGAAGCTAGAAAGAGGGAGTTTCAAGCAATTCAAAATCGGCAGCTAGTTGCCAAGATGATGACGGAATCTGGTTTTGAGAACGTCTTGGCTCATTCAGCGGACGATAACAATGATGGAGCCTCCCAGCACGGTTTTCCCCATGCATCATTTTCTGGATACGCGTATTCACGAACAGTCCTGAGCCACGCACTTTCGCACCCCATATTCCATGGATCAGTCAGGGCACCAATCAGCACATCGCGTTCCCAGTCGGGTCTTAGTGTACGTTCAATGGTCTCCAATTTGAGCCAACCTGCGCTCAACGTTACGGGACACAATTGGCGTGTCTTTCATTCGCCGCCGCTTTGTCGGGGACTTGCGCGCCAACATTTTCGTACGCTGACGGCTGCACACGATCGTTCAGAGATAATCCACCCGGCAATATGGGGCTGTGTTCTCGCATCAGGGCTAGCCTTCTCAGATGCATCAGTGACATGCCCCGCGCTTGTGGGTTACTCGCTTGAGCGACAGATACCACGCCCCGAGGTATCTACGCGCCATCTAGACAAGTTACGCCCACCCATCCGTCGACTGCCACGTGGCGGTGGGTGCATTGACCCTCTGAGTGGTACCACAGGCGGCTTTGATGACGCGATTACGCCATGCCACACCTGTCTTGGTGGTCGCTTTGGCTGTCCTTTCTGTTATGAACTCCCTGAGGGTCTCCAGCTGCACAAATACTCGTATATGCCAGGTGATACCGCGCAGGAACGCATGGAACATACACCTCAGAAACTACACACCGACCTCACTACGCAAACTGCGCTGACGCATGATCGCAATGTTCGACATGACCGAGCAGAAGTTCTCGTCAAATCTATTCCCTGTGGCACAGTGATCAAAATCAATCTTTTTTGTGATGACTCCGTAAGGCACCTCCACCACCTTTTCCGTGCGGCGTCCACGCATGGCACAGAGCCGCGGGCACTGCTCTATTTACCAACGCAACATGGACTCATTGAGATGGACGTAGATGCAGAACCCCTGCGTTTCATTGATGGCTCCTCCCGGCTTCCTAACAGAGGCTCCATCCCACTCTTTCGTTATGGTTTAAACAAGCGGGATGCCAAAGCCGTGATTTTCCATGGTTCTCACGAGTCTGCATGGCCTTTAGTAAACATTTTTATTGGCAATAACTTGCTAATGAAACACTTCCCATCTGCTTCTTGCCTTTTATCTGACCTCGATAGCGCCCCGAGGACACTACCTGGGACAGACTTGGTGCAAACAGGTCTTTGGAAAGTTTTTTCACTTCAAATTTTCCAACACAGACTTTATGCTCAGCAAGACGACGAGGCTGAGGAAAGTCACCGACGACATCTCGAGGACCGCTCACTCGAAAAGCACGTGGCCGATGCACTATCTCACCGCAGACTGGAGCCTGCTAGTCGCAGAAGACGAGGGCGCTGAAGGGCGAACGTGCCGTTTCAAGAAACGCAGTGCCAGCCATATCGATATCTTCGGCCGATGCTATGTAATGCAGCTTGGCTTCGCAAATAAAAAATGCTTAGGATATGTAGATCACGTGACGTCTCTTCCGTGTTTGCTGCCCACATGGGTGTATCCAAAATTCCGGGAGGCAAAGCTTGCAGATGAGGTACAAACACGGGTGTGAGAATCGCTGCCGCCTCATCAGGATACCTGATGATGAACATGACGATGATGATGATACAGGGCCGTGTCCGAGGTCGCCTGCCGGCACGCCCCGATCTCGCCGCCTTGGCCGGCGGACTGGTAGGGTTTTGTCCGCAGAGGCTCCCCGGGGTCTTGCGCCGAGGCGACCGGCTCGAAATTGGCGCCATGGCGTCGCCACTCATGTGCACGCGAGCCTCCTATAGGTCGAAGTCACTCGAGCTGGTGTTTCACTCGACTCGGCAGCCAGGCCCAGCAAGTGGCGAGGGGCAACCCCACTGGCCGAGGGGCACTCAAAGCGCGGTCTGTTGCCCCCCCCCCCCCCCCCCCCAATGTATCCCGCCGGCGGGATATGCTACCCAACATCCCCTAACAAACACGTCCCTAACCAACACTTAGCGGGGGTTGTCCCTTCAAGGTATACTTCTCTTACTTAGCTTTAGGTTCACAGTGCAGTGGAAATATGCTGGCTTAGTCGCTTACTTGTATCTTTTGTACGAGGATACGCGGATTCGGAATCCTCTTCTTTTATTCTCTTGCACACTTCAGGTTTTCGTGACCGAGGAGTCTAGCCACGGGACCGTCTACAGGTGAACCGTTAATGGAGAACTTGAAGGCTGTCATGAAGCAGTGGTCTATGCGGACGATGCTGCCATTGAGGAGTTGATGCTGGGTCAACGCCCCCTGTACGCCCGGGGTAGCTACTGCAGGGTAGCCCGGAGTGTTCTAGTGGACGGAAACTACGAGTGAACGTTACAGGCCTGGCAACAAGGACGAAAACAAAATCTGAAAACGAATACTCTGGGCTGATACTTCCCTTCAAGTAAGCGTTTTTTTGAACATTTAAATACGACTTCCGACCCGAACCGGCGACCCCACACCCTTGAAATCCCTCAATCGATACGATTAGCGCGCTATCCCGATGGGCCGGCTTGGCGGGGGCATAATTCAACAATTTTGCCACGATTTCCGTCCGGTGGTCGCGCGCGGTCGACGGAGGACCTCTATGACATACTACGGCCGGCGGCCAGGAAGAATAAATAAATACTTCTATGGGGCGCTCTAGCCCTATGGTTGTTTTCGTCCTTGCCTGGCAAAACGAATTACATGTAGGGTTTAGACCACTATCATCATCAAATAAAACTGCTGGTCGTGGTGGTCCTCTCCAGCTCGCCGCTTTTCCGGAGTCCGGGGGCGGTACGGAAGGCCGGAAATCACAACTGACAAAATTCAATCCGATTTCTGCCGAAACTCTCGCCGCTACCTTGGCGCGGCGCTCGGCGCCGCGCTATAGAATGAGCCTTACTGAATGACATTTTACGCCTTTAGGGGATTTCCGCACCATCCGCTACGGCCAATGCGTGGATTCACCGGCAAGCTTGAATTCTATGCAGTATCCATGTCAGGCCAACTCCTTTCGACATCAGCGCTGGACTTCTGGATGGGATTGCTTATTCGGATACTAGCTCTCGTGGCTGCTGGCTTATTCGTCGCTGAAGTCCAGCTGCCCCCCTGGATGGACAGGGAGTACGCCCATCTGTCCCCTCGGGACCGTGGTGGGCCCGATCGTGCTGGGCTTCTGCGTCCAGATCTGCAAGAAGACAAGGACATCGAGGTCCCTCTCGAGCCGGCTGCCGTGCAGGAAAAGCCCAAGGCGTTAAAGGCAACCGGTGTCCTCGAGTCTGTGGCAATGATTGCCATATACATGTCGGCGGCGATTGGGATTGTCTATTTGAACGCATATATCTTGACTCAATGGCCATGGGCAGCTACCCTGACAATGCTGCAGATGCTGTTCTGTTCAATTGCAGCGCGGGGCTGTGTGTTCGCGGGCTTGTCGGACCCGGCCAAGGTTGGTATGACCCCAAGGCACTATGTAACCATCTGCGTGTAGATTATCCGTGTCCGAGGCGCTGGCGATCCCCCCGCTCCAATACCACCATTACGTAAAGAGCATATCTAGCTTGTAGGCCTCTTGCGCTACTATACACATTTTACCTTTATGGCTCTAACGCGGTGTATGACTACCTACCTGTTGGGTACATCCAGCTCCTGAAGCCGGGGCAGGCAATCGGCGTTTACATCCTTCTCGCCATGGCGGGGAAGGAGGCTGTCTCCATGCTTCCGGTCTTAAACTTGGCAGTCATCCTCGGTGCAGTCATTGTCGCGAGCGTGGCGAAGTCAGAGGTCGCGGGCTGGTCGACAGCCGGCTTCATGTTCATGATGGTCAGTAATGCTTGTTATAGCTTTTACCTTGTGGGCCAGCAGCTTGTTCTAAACACATCCCTTGGAGGCGGGAAACATGCTTCCAAGCTCGATGCCATCACAACGCTCTACTTTCTTGGCCCAGCAACAGCCATGGGCCTTGCCGTCGTGGCTGCTGCAACCGAATGGGGTCAGGCCGATTTTCGATTGACAAGCGTGTCCCCATGGTTTCTTTTGTGCGACTGCATCATTGCGTTCTCGCTCAATCTTATCCAAATAAACATCATTGGAAAACTCAGCGCCCTGAGTTACATGTTTGCTGGCTACGCGAAAGGCTTTCTAACGGTCGTCATCTCTGTAGTTTTCTACAAGGAAGCTGTGGATGGCCTTGAAATTACTGGCTATATCGTGATGCTCTTCGGCCAGCTGTTGTGGTCTCTCCGCAAGTTGCGTGCACGCTTACCCCAAGCCGACCGTGAGGATGCCGGTCTTAACTTCAAACTCGGCGTTGTTTTCAGTTTTTTGGTCATAAGCCTTATTTATAGCCTCACGGTCGACGCTTGCTTAGCCGTGCCTTGCCAATAAACCGATTGCATAGTAGCCGGCCACAGTGCAATGCAACCAGGAGATACATGGAGTCAAAGAAGACGATATCGCCTACCCGATGTGAGTCCCTCTTGATGTGCGGCCGTAGTACCCGATAAATGCAGTCAGACCAAGCACATTGCGATTGGGCGCCCGATGCAGCGCTACCAAGACCCGGCGCCGTGCTTGGTGTGGGCCATGCCGTGATCGGACGCGGCCCCGAGAAGACCACCGGCTGGCGAGTATGAGCCCGGCGCTCGCATCAGCACAGCACGCGGGCCATGATAGCGGCTGCTGCCAGCGCAGGTGCCACTAGGCCCTGAGGCACTATTTCGCGCGACGCGCCGACTCGCCAGTGGATCTGACTGGTACATAAGACCCGCATTCGCTATGCTCATCACACGGGTCAGAAGTTGGGGTGGATACCCAGGTCTGGACATTAAGCAATGTGACTCGCCGGGTTTAACGAGTTAGACGCGTTTGTCCTTGTTGGAGGCGCGGCACAAAACCGCGGCAACTTGACGACAGCGCCGGTTTGTTGCCGTGCGGTAATGTGCCGTCAAAGAGCCGTCCGCGGGCCGCAACTTTTTAGTCGCCGTCCTTTTTGGTCACCAAAAGAACGTCGGGGCGACCAGAAAGGTCCGTCTAATTTGCCACCAGAAAGGTCACCAAAAAGACGCCCAATCCCCCAACCAAATCCCATGATAATAATAAACTAAAACATCAGACCTTAAAGTTGGCCGTTAGAAAACGGGCCGCCATCGTGACGCTGACGTCACTTCACCACCAAAAAGGTGCGACCTTTTGGTTTCGAGGCCCCGAACCCGAGCGGCGGGCGGCTCCGACCGCGGAGTTTCTGACGTCACCTCGCCACCAAAAAGGTGCGACCTTCTGGTATCGAGGCCTCGGAGCCGCCATTTTGGGCCCTGACCAAAAAGATGCGACCTTTTGGTTTGACGATCGGGAGGAATTGTGGAGGCCAGGAATTGGGGCGAGCCGCAGCCCAGCGCCTCTCTCACGCCCAAGTCTTTGACGGCGCTCCACGTCGCCCCCCCCGAGGGGGCGCCCCCGGCCGGCCCAGGGGCCCCGGGCGGCGCGGGGCCGACGCAGCGCGAGTACGGGCTCCCGGGCTGCGTCAGAGCGCCGCCCCACGGCCTCGTCGCGGCGAGCGAGGGCTGCCCGGCCTTGGTGAAGCAGATGGGCGAGGGGTCCGGTGGGCTGCCGCGCGGGTCCGGGACCATGGCGTGGCCTCGACGTGCGGCGCGGGGCGCGGGATGCGACAGCGCTGGCCGTGCGGGCGCTGCACTCGAAACCGCGGCGCGACGGACGTGCGCGCCCGCGCCGAAGGCGCGCGCACCTCCGTCGCGCGGATGAGAGTGCCGAGCTGGACTCGGCGTGGCTACCATGGCCCTTGACCGACGAGGGATGATCGCAAACGATCTCTGCCGCTGCGCGGGCCCGACACATGGGCTGGCGGGTCGGGCAGGGGCGAGGGCAGCCCCTCGCTGCCCCCCGCGCCCCTCTCCTCGGACGCGATGCAGCCCGCCAGCCCCTCCCGCCTTCGCGTGCGTCGCTAGCGCAGCAGCGGAGATCGTTGTGGGGCGCGCGGCTAGGGGGCGCGCGTGCAACATAGCGTCTAGAGCGTCTG